TTGAGAGGTGAACTCACTGGCAACCCATTTAGGACCCCTCCTGTCTCTCAGGAGCTATTCCTAGTCCCCATTTCCCTATTTGTACTTCCCATTTCTTTACTCCAATAAATTTTCCTACTCTTAAATTCCATTGTTCCTGAGAATTCATTCTTCTAGCATTTCCCTATAATACTTATACCTTTAAGTTGTTGATTATAGGCAATGGTCCTCTTTTAACTTCAGATCTTAAAGGGCATTGTCTTCAGTAAGGGAAAATAGTAGTATTCTAATGATGTATTTGTACAGGGGCAGTTCTTACTGCCCTTTCTAGTCTATCTTTAGTTGGCCATACTTCAGTATTTATTATCTCCACGAGAGGGAGGCAGCATACACTATTCAAGCAAGATGAGAATCTCTTCCCAGGAGAAAAACTGGACTTTCAGGCAAAATTAAAAAGGAATGTGTAAAAAGAAAGTCTTCCCAGTTACAGTTTAAGGGTTGTAAGAAATAACACATTAAATCCTCTCTTTTACTCAAGTATGACACCTGGAAGGAAGGCCAGGGTTGAAAAGATGGACTGAGAGAAGCATGTTTCCAGCAATAAGCTGGTTTCTTTCCCCTATGAGAGTTATGATTACCTGGGGCTCCTCTGTGGAGATGACAGTCTAGCCAGTGGAGAAGGTGGAGTACCCATCTGGGGCATTTAGTCTCATTGGACCAGCTGGTAAGAAGGGTCTGATCCCTGAGGTCTCAGCCTCAGGGGGCAGTCAGACTTCCAGTGTTCACCTTTTCCATTAGGGCATAGCTCAAGGAGCCTCTTGTTTTATCACAGTCTCACCTAAAGTGACCTGGCTTATGGCAGCAATAGGAGGTGAGTTTAGTTGTTGAGCTCTTCTTGGAGCCTCAAGAATCAGATTACGGAGCTATTCCTTTTAAGGACAAAACCAAGGCAGGCTTCCCTACCTAGCTGTGGCCCTGAAAAGGCAGAGTGGCTGCCTGTGTCCTACAGTCCAGGCCTGAGCACACCCCTTAGCAAGGGCTTTTTCTTGGCCACATTGGATTTTGCAGCTGTGCCCCTTCTGCCCCACAGTGCCTGTCCCTCCTTCATTAGTACCAGACCAGGCGAGAGTGGTTGCTTGTCATCGGCTGTAGCCTCTCCTGGTGGCCTTGAGCAAGCTGCTCACTCACATGTGGTGGAGGCAGGGCAGGGTGCTGGGGAAGCAGTGGAAGGAAGCATAGAGGGAGTACATGTCCTCCACAGTGACATAAGCTTTTGAGGGGAGACCTGTGTAAAGAATAAAGGCAGGCATAGTGACAAATACCTATAATCCCAATAGCCGGGAGGTTGAAGCAGTAGGATTGTCATGAGTTCAAGGCCATCCTGAACTACATAGCGAGATGCTGTTTCAAACAACAACAACAACAGAAAAGTGTCACCACAGAAGGCTGGCCAGGATGGCATCAACTTACTCAGAGTCTAGCCTTGAAAAGACTTGCCCATAAGTAAACAAGTTCAGTGTTTGCTTTAATTACTAGTGGCCAAGCAATAAGGACCAAATGTCTGTTATGGTTTGTGTCTAGGTGGCCCCCCAAGCCTCATGCAGTCATGGAGGTGGATGAATCTAGTATTTGTGATTGGTTCATTGTCTAGCGCTGGGATTAGTGGTGTGAGTGCTACACCCATCCAGAGGTGGAGCCAGTATACAAGTGAGCTCAAGGCCAGCCTGAACTGCATAGCAAGACCCTGTTCTCAAACAGACAAAAAAATAGGGGCTGGGGATTTAGCTCAGTGGCATAAGCGCCTGCCTTGCAAGCAGGCAGTCATGAGTTCGATCCCCGGTACCAATAAAAAAGGAAAAAAGACCCAAAATAAATAAATAAATAAATAAAAGACAAAAAAAATTAAATTAAAATAAAATTTAAAAAAGAAGCTCAAGTTTTCAGGCATTCTCAGTTGATCTTCAAGGTATGCCCTCACCAGCCCAGGGTCTACCAATAAAGAGAGAATCACAGCACACACACACATACCGCCCCAAAAAGCTTGTGGCTAGGTACTCCAGTACTCATCACCTAGTTCTAAATCCACTTCTAAATCCAACCAATGGGTTGGTTGAGTGATGATCAACTTTGGAAGGCTGAAACAGGAGGATTGAAGCAAGTTTAAGACCAGCCTTTCAAAAGGCTGTATGTGTTTAAAAAAAAAAAAAAAAAAAGACCAGCCTGGCAATTTAGCAACTTTGTGAGACTTTCTGTCTCAAAATACAAAATGTTAACAAGCTGGAGATACAGTTCAGTACAAAGGTACTAGGTTCAGTCTTTAGTAATACTACTACTACTACTAATACTAATAATAAATATTTACCTGAAACCTCAGATGTGACCTTAGTTGGAGTTTGAGTAAAAATCTACAAAAATAATTAAAGGCAAGAATTTAGAAATGAGCCAGATTTGGTGGTGCATGCCTGTAATCCCAGCATTCTGGGAGACTGAGGCAGGAGGATCACTGGGAGTGCAAGGTCAGCCTGAACTACAAAGTGAAACCTTGTCTCAAAAAAAAAAAAAAAGAATTTTGAGATGAATCCATCCTAAGTTAGGATGACCATAAAATCCAGTGGCTTGTGCCCTGCTAAGAGAAAAAAGGGAAATCTGGACACAAGAAAGTTGTGTGAAGATGGGAACAGAGATGATGTGGCTATGAACCAATGACTTTTGCAAGGAGCTGACACCTGTAGGAAAACAAAAATCACCAGTTTTGGGGGAAATTTGTTTAGTAGCCAAATAATCCCAGCATTTGGGAAGCTAAAGCAGGATTGCTGAGAGTTTGAGGTCAGCCTGAATTACACAGTGAGACTCAGATAGTTTAGGGGATGGCAGAAACTTCCAGGGAAAGTAGGCATGGGCTGTTAAACTACAGGATCCTAGACACATGTACAGAACAGTTCCAAAGCCCTAAACATGGACTTCTCACAAGAACTCAGTAGGATGGCCTAGACCTGATGTCAGCCTGAGGTGTGGAATCCCAGCACTACCTCTCAGAACCCAGATATAGAAGTTCTCTCAGGTTTCCACGAGGTTTGAACAATATAAAAGAAAGACACACACAAAAAAAAGAAAGAAAAGAAAAAACCCATGAGGAGCTGGAGCTATCTTACCTTTCTCAATAGCCCAAGCTGTTTCCTAGATTCAGCATCTACTTTTATCTTTCCTCCCACCTTGCACTTGCCAGGGAGGCACTTTATGCCACTGAGCTAAATCTCCAGCCCAAGCTACCTCTGGAGAGCTGATTTCTCTCCCACTATAGTTTTGGCAGTAGGTATTGAACTTGCAACCTCACATTTGCCAGGCAGGTGCTTATGCTGCTGAGCTAAATCCCCGGCTGCCTCTCCCACTATTATAGATAGCTAAGTTAGGTAGAAATATAGGCTGTCCAATAGGGCTGTGCCCTTAAGAGGTCAATATAGAAGACAACTGTGGATGGAGACATATTCACTGATCAGACTTTAAAAAATAGCCAGGGATTTAGCTCAGCAGTACAAGCACCTGCCTGGAAAGCACAAGGTCCTGAGTTCAGTCTTCACTACCAAAAAAAAAAAAAAAAAAAAAAAAAAACCAAAAACGACTCACCCTTATACTCCCCTAGGGATGAGCAGCAGTCATGGATTTCTAAGTAGGCATCAATCATCTTGAGGTGGAAGACCACACCTCCTTAACCCACTCCTTCCTGTCAGTCCCATGCATGCTTGTTATGTGACTTGTTTCCCCATTTGATCTCCATTTAATCAATATTACCCAAGTGACTATACTTGTTGTATACCTATTGGTTACTCATAGTTTTGTCCCACCTCACACCCATCCTATTTGTCACTGGATCAATATTACCTAAGTGACTATGCTTGTAATCTTTTTTTTTTTTTTAAATCGGTACCAGAGATCGAACTCACAACCACATGCTTGCAAGGTAGGTGCTTATGCCGCTGAGCTAAATCTCCAGCCCTATGCTTGTAATCTTATTGATTACAGTTCTGTCCCACCTGAAGCCCACCTCACCTCTTGGCTTTGCTCAATAAAACACCCTCAGGAAGTAGGCATCTCACTTTCCAGGCTTCCTTCTGTCCTTCTCAGAAAGAAGCTTTTTCTCAATAGATTCTTCCTACTCTTAACCTCCATTGTTTCTAGAATTCATTCCCCAATTTTGGGAAACATGAACTCGGTGTTTTGGACATCTAGCAGTCTATATCACCACTCTTTTTTTTTTTTTTTTTTTTTTTTTTGTCTTTTTCCTTTTTACCGGTACCAGGGATTGAACTCACGACTGCCCAATATATCACCACTCTTTACTCTTACTTTTTTGAACAAACTTTGCCACTGCTTTTTGCTCCTTTTGTTCAATGCTTTGTTCTATGTGAACTTGAAATCCAACTCCAGATGGAGATGTGAGTAACCCAAACCCAGTAATGTTTAGTTGGTGAGTCACTTTTTAAAAACAAGCTACTTGGGGGCTGGGGATTTAGCTCAGCGGCCCAAGGGCCTGCCTTGGAAGCATGTAGCAGTGAATTCAATCCCCGGTACCAAAAAACAAAACAAAAAAAAAGGCTACCCTATAAAAGCAAGCTACCTGACAACTCTGTCTCAAAGAATAAAAACAAAAACAAACAAAAAACTGCCACAAGAAATTAATGTACTAAGGAGAGTGGTGTTGGGTGAGGGATGAGAGGAGGTACTGAAGAAGCTTGGGATGTAAACTCACGGACAACCTCAGGCTCCAGTTTTCACTGAAAAGTCCAAGAGATTTCTGCAGCTGAGATAAGGAACCTAATCCCACTTTCTTTTTTTATTTCTTCTTTTTTTTTTTTTTTTGTCTTTTTCTTTTTATCGGTACCAGGGATTGAACTCATGACTGCCTGCTTGCAAGGCAGGCACTTATGCCGCTGAGCTAAATCCCCAGCCCCAACCCCACTTTCTTGTAAAAATAAATCTGCAGGTTTTCTGACTCCCACTACAGAAAAATAACTTTAGACAAGTAAGAGGCACAGAAAAGGTTTATTAGGCAGAAACTCAGGAAAACATACTCAGAGAAAGTGGGCTTTCAAGGGAGAAAAGTCACCACATGAGCAAAGCTGGGTACATTTACTGAGTCTTAGGGTATATTTAAAAAGAAAACTGTGAGGCTGGGGATTTAGCTCAGCGGCATAAGCGCCTGCTTTTGCAAGCAGGCAGTCGTGAGTTTGATCCCTGGTACTGATTAAAAAAACAAACAAACTGCTAGCTGGGCATGGTGGCGCACTCCTATAATCTGAGCACTCTGGAGGCTGAGGCAGGAGGATTGTTGCAAGTTTGAGACCAGCCTGGGCTACAAACTACATATCCAGACCCTGTCTCAAAAGACAAAAACAAATAAATTAACAGAAAACTGCAACCTCAGTACAGCAAAGTTACTGGATCCTTTTTCTGTTCTAAGAGACTCACTCAAAAAATTCCTAAAGGTCTTAAAGACACAATAAGCTCCTGGAAAGCGTGAGGTCATAAATTCAATCCCCAGCACAAAAAAAGATACAATAAGCCTACACATTTGGACCTCTCCCGCCTTTTTTTTTTTTTTTAATGTACCTTTTCCTTTTATCTGTAAATTGTACTTCCTCTCCATCCTCAGGGAAGCAGCAATATTAGTAGGCAGCATGTTGCAGCTTCAAACACATGTAAATGGCTGCATTCTGGCATAGCCTGCCAGATGGGTAACCTCACAGAGAATAGGGATATACTGACTAGATTATCCATCTTTCTTTCTTTTCTTTTTTTTAGTACTGGGACTTCCTGCTGAGATATAGATCCATTCATTCCTTCCCCATCCCCTGTCCCCATCTTTCTTTTTTGAGACAGGACCTTCCTATGTAATGTAGACTGGCCTTGAATTCACAGAGATCCTTCTGCCTTGGTCTCCTAAGTGCTTTGATTACAGGTGTGTGTTACCATTCCTGGCTAGATTATCTATGTTAAAGTATCATTTTAAGTTTTAAAACCTTTTATTTATTTAGATATAGTCTTACTAGGCAGTACAAAATGGCCTTGAGCTCACTTTGTAACCCAAGCTGGTCTCGAACTCACAATGACCCTCCTGCCTCAGCTTCCAGAATGCTAGGATTATAGGTGCTTGCCACCACATCTGGCATCATGTCAAGTTTTTTTTTTTTTTTTTTTTTTGTCTTTTTCCTTTTTATCAGTACTGGGGATTGAACTCACGACTGCCTGCTTGCAAGGCAGGTGCTTATGCCGCTGAGCTAAATCCCCAGCCCCCATTATGTCAAGTTTAAAACTAAAGTTTTTTGTAGGCACTGGGAATCGAACTCTGGAACTCACACTTGTCAGGTAGGTGCTGCACAGTTGAGCTAAACCTCTGGCCCTGAAAATACAACTTTAAAATCCTAGTCTCACTGAGTGTTATGGTTGATACACTGTCAACTTGAAGAGTTTAGAAGTTTAACTGACTCAGCAAAGAGCCAGGCTTCTTACTTTGTAAATAACCTCATCCTGTGCAAAAGGAAGGCACAGAGATTTTCTGAGTGCTATACCTACCCTGGCAGGGGTAAAGAGTGGGTGGTGAGAGGGGCCTGTGTACACTATAAGGGAGAAGAGGCTTGCTCTGCCCCATTTTGCTCTGGCTGCTTCCTTGAAGTGCTGTATGTGGGGGTGCCATCCACCTTGCCTTGAAGCCAGCTGATTATAGACTGAAATCTCCACAACTGTAAGCTAAATAAACCTTTCCTTCCTTAATCTGGGGTGTTGGGTATTTTGTCCAGCAATAAAAGAAAAGTAATCAAGACACTGGACTTGGTGGCACCCCCCCCCATAATCTCAGAACTTGGGAGGCTGAGGCAGGAGGATTGCTCCAAATTCAGAGGCAGTGTGGAAAACAAAGTGAGTTCAAGGCCAGCCTGAGCTGCACAGTGAAATCCTGTCTCAAAAAAATAAAAAAAAAAATATTTTGTTTTTTTTTTTCTTTCTTTTTTGCTCATTTTTACATTTTCTTGTATATCCTACTTCACAAGGAACAGTGGGCATGTAGGTCTGAGCCCAGAAGACAGGCTGGGTCCTGCTGCTGGCTCTGGACATGGTGAAGATGGCTGAGGCATCATAGGATCTGACCCTCACTCATCAAGCATTGGCCAGCACTTCTTATAGGCCAGACCTGAGACAACTGGGCCAGGTGGGAAGAGGAAGTACATCCAGAGAATGGGGACAAGGACTAAGGCTAATGTTAGGAGGTGCCACTGTGAGAGCAGAAGAACTCAAGAATCTTGAATCCAGGACTAGTAGCTTTCTGAACCATGCTGGAAAAGTGGCTTCTGCCATGGTCCTTCCACTCAGTATTACATAAGTCCCTGAAGAGGGACATTCAGGAGCCAACTCATTCTCAGGAGTTGGCACTTCTGATCCCAATAATAATCTGGCTTCAATAAATTCAACTTTGGCTACCCACAGAGATGTTGTCCCTCAATGTCCTTGATGGGTGCTAGTATCTGACACACCTACTTTCCAGGAAATGTGTCCATACGATGACCTCAGATCAGCCATATCTACTGCTTTTCTGTTAGGCAGTGATCTCAGTCAGTACCCAGGGAAGGTGTGTGGCCTACCTGACACGGAGCTCAGAGTGATGAACATGTTTGATGGGCATCAACCTAGGGTGAAGTACTATTAAACACAATGCTGTTTGCTGGACACTGTGGGCATTCCTTAAAGCAGCTTCACACAACAAGAGAGAAGGCAAGGAATTCCACCCCTGGAATTCAGGTGGTCCTTGAGGAAGCACGAGGGTCAAGTATGCATGTGGAAGGAGACAACCTGCCGCTCCTGGACCGTCACACAGAAGGATGCTCAGCTGAGAAAACAGGAGGTGATGCAAAACGTTAGCTAGGTAAGCAAAGGCCAGGATAGGAAGCAGGGAAGCCCACTGCAGAGGACCAGTCAGGGACACAGAAAACACCTGACACCACTGAACTTGTTAGGACTGCCTAAGGGAGGCCCCAGTCCTGGACTCCCCTGAGGTCCAGACGTTATGCTTTGGGGGCGGGGGCTGTCTTGAGTGGTTGGCCTAAGTCAGTGTCCCGAAGCCCCACGACTGGCCCTTTCTGGGCTAACCATTCAACCTTGACCTCCCTGACTGATGCTGGATTCTGGTCGTGCCCTCAACCAGAACCCCAGTCTGATATCCCAGACAGGCGCCATCCTTGGTCCTGGCCAGTGAGACATCCTGACTCTGGGGTTGGGCCTAAGCATTTTCTGGAACTGGACCCCTCTGAGGTGTGGACCCCGAGATGACCATGAAAGAAGCACCGTTGGGCCAGCACATGTCGACTTTAGGGACCTATGACCTCTCTCCCACCCAGTCAATCCATAGAATCCCAAGCTATTGGAGTTTGTCTCTGTCATAAGTAAATCCAGAACACCACCAGGAGGCGTCCTACACCACCAAGCCTCGCCCCCACTTCAACCCCAAACGTTACAGAATCACAGCCACACCTGGGCCAAGCCCTTCAGAGTCTAATCATCGCTGGCTCCCTTAATGGAGCCTCACCCTGGATCCTCGCCCCTGTCGGCTCCCAAGTGTCCACAGTTGCCCTTGCTTTTTAAGGATTGAACGGAGGCTATGGTCAAACCCACGTCATCCTTGCACTCTCTCCTCTGGCACGAGCGACCTAGCCAGACTTCGACACAACTGTGCAGGCAGCAACTCAGGTCCGACTTCCGGGGCGGAGGCGATTTGTGAACATTACACCTCCGCGCCATGTGTACGTCACAATTGTTAAGTCCAATGGGACCACTGGCTTTACAACAGCGCCGCTGGTGTAGTGGTATCATGCAAGATTCCCATTCTTGCGACCCGGGTTCGATTCCCGGGCGGCGCACAATTGCTTTTCGTAATTTTTTCCCATCTCCAGAACGGTTCCCGCACTGACTGGGAAAAATAGTGGAGACGCTGATTCCCCGGAGACACTAACAAGTATTTTCCAAAAACAAACTCTGGCGACGCACGCATGCCTTGCGTGACAAGGGACCTGAGCCAACTGGAATCTGTAAACCGACACCCCCAAATTGCTCCCATTCTGCTGTGGGTGCCAATTCCCACCTGTCTGCAATAGACCGCGGAGCCTTTAAGGGGCAGAGTGCGGGTTTCTGGAAGTAGTCTTTGCTGAAGGCGCGGCGGCAAGCCCACAGCTTCCGGCGCACCCAGCGGCGGAAGTCGACCACAGGGCCGACTCCTTCAGTAGTGGGTCCGGAGGCGCTGGAAACGCGTCCGTTATGCTGGTGGCGGCGTCCGCAGAGCGGAACAAGGAACCCATCCTGAGCGTCCTTCGGCAGTACGTGGACCCAGCCCAGCGCGGCGTCCGCGTGCTCGAGGTGGCCTCCGGCTCCGGCCAGCACGCCGCACACTTCGCGCAAGCCTTCCCGTACGCCGAGTGGCAGCCATCTGACGTGGACCAGCGCTGCCTGGATAGGTGCGTCTGCTACCGGGTCCGCGCGGACGGTGAGAGTGAGTACAGGTCGAGGATAGCGTGAGTGGATCTTTTTGGCCCCCATCCCTCGCACTGCCTTCTGCAGCATCGCCGCCACAACTCAGTCCCAGGGACTGTCCAATGTGAAGGCCCCTCTGTACCTGGACGTGACCTGGGAGTGGCAGCGGTGGGGTGACATCCTGCCACAGTCGCTGGACTTGCTGCTGTGCATCAACATGATCCACATCAGCCCCCTGAGCTGCACGGAGGTAGGTGGAGCATAGCAGCACCTTGCCCTAGGTACAGCCTTCTTCATTCAGGTCTCTTCCCGGCTGGGGTAGGTGACTTGCTGTATTCCGCCTTCTCTTTCCCAGGGGCTCTTCAGAGCAGCGGGGCACCTGCTCAAGCCCAAGGCTGTGCTTATCACTTACGGGGTGAGTGGTCTTTCAGGGACTTTGGAACCCTTAGCTGTTGCCTTATCCAGCTGGTCTTTGGCTTTCCCTTCTTGGGGGTGGGAAGGAGTGTCGTTTTCATTCTGTAAGTTTGTTCCCCTGGCCTGCTGAGGAGTGATGTGCCAACCCCATCCCTGCAGCCCTACGCCATCAATGGGAAGATTTCTCCTCAGAGCAACGTGGACTTTGATCTAACCCTCAGATGCAGGTCAGAATTTGACAGGAAGGGGGTTGGCTCAGAGCAGGTGGGATGGATGCTCCTATCCTCAGTTATGACTTCACCATTTTCCCTTACTGCAGGAACCCAGAGTGGGGGCTTCGGGACACAGCTTTCTTGGAGGATTTGGGACAGGCCAATGGCCTTCTCCTGGAGAAGATGGTAGGTGGGGCTGGGTCAAGTGGTACGGCCTTCTTAGGGGAAAAAAGGCCATTCCAGCAAAGCTTTTCTCCAGGTGGACATGCCAGCCAATAACAAGTGCCTAATTTTCCGGAAAGAATAACCCTTTCCTTCATCCTGCATGCCTGCATCCCTGTCAAAGTTTTTCTTGGGCACAAACCAGACTCTGGCTCCTGATGTCTGGGCCAGGATCTGGGAATGACCACCCCCATCAAGTCTGACCTGTCAAGAGCCTAGGCCCAGTTGGCCTTGGAATAAAGTGTTTTCTGCTGTCCCCTTAGGTGTTCACCATGTCTCTTTGTGGTTGGGGTGTGTGTGTGAGAGAAAGAGAGAGATCAAGAGAGGGATAGCCCAGGGTCAGCTTCTGGCAGGACACAGATGTTCCCCACCTATACTTCTGGAGACTCTAAGGCTATAGCATGTCACCAAAAGTGGACTGGTGCTCCCTGGTGACCTGGTCAAAGACCGAACTGTTGTCAAGATCGCAGCTGGAGAATAGGCTGAGGGATAGACACCTAGAAGGATCAGGGTCCTGACCAGCACTATTAGGCATGAGCTCCAAGGATGAGGGGAGCCTTTATTCAGTAGGAAAGGAGGCAGGAAGGGACACCAGGGCTAGTCTTGGCAAGAGGAGATGGAGAAGGGAGCTAGTCCCAAGTGGGAGAGGACAACACAGTTAATCCTGAAAGCGGATGAGCAGCTCACAGGCCTTCTTCTCAAGTAGCTCCAAGATCTTCTTGACACGCTTCTCACTGGCAGCACGGACATAGCTGCCAGCATCTAGCATGGCCACACCATCATGAACTTCCCCCATTATGATCAGCAGCTCATCACTAGCTGTCACATTGGGGCAGGGGCAGGCCCAATCCATGCCACTGAGCGTCACCTCCAGGTACTTGGTGCCTAGGAGTTTGAGGCCCATCTTGTCATCCTTTAGCACATCATCAAGGGCTACTCGGGCAATGCCACCACCCACCTCAGGCTCCTCGAGCACCTCTGTGAGGCGCCCCACAATGGCAAAGTCACTGCGGCACAGGCTTAGCACCAGCTTGCTCCTGAGGCGGCATGCCCGACAGGGTGGTGAGCGAGGCACAGGACAGACCTCCTCGCAGCTCTCACGGCTCTCAAAGTTGTTGCCATTACCCTCACAACCACCATAGGCAAAAGGCTGGCACTGCTGCAACACTGGATTGTAGGCCCAGCGCAGTTCCCAGCCCTGGCAAGGACCCTGCACAGCTGGCAACATGCAGGCATCCCTAGGGCCTTGGACACAGGCCTGTTGGCATGCCTCATATGTTGTGAAACCTTGAGTGGCCCCAGCACATTCAAAGGCTGGAAAGGTCATGCAGCCACCTCGCTGTGAATCAAAGTACCAGAGGACTTGGTTTGCGGAGGTGGAACCAGCACAGGCCTGCAAATCTGGCAGGCACTTCGCCAGAGCTAGAGTGCCAGAGGTCCCTTCCCTGGCTGGTTCCCTCTGAACCACAGAGAGTGGAAAGTCAGCCCGCAGCAGGCCAGCGGCATTGCGTGCAGTGCAGGTATATAAGCCAGCATCCTCAGGCCGGGCATTGTAGAGCACCAGCTGTCCAATGCTGGTGACTACCACATTGCCATACATTTGGTCAGGGCGCATAATCAGGTTTTCCCGCTGGTGGCTCTGCTTCTCCCAGGTCACAGCGGGTGGTGGGCGGCCAGTGACGTCACAGTGGAGGCTGGCTGTGCCCCCAACATGTACTGCCTGTGGGGAAGGGCTGTTGTAAAGGGCAGGTGGCATTAGGGCAGCCTCAGGTGTTGGGCGGGCAGTGGTCTCTGGTGGCCCTGGGCTGCTGGGTGGCCAGCTGAGGATGTGCTTGCAAGGCACAATGTGCAGGTGGAGGCCATGTAGACAGGCCTCTGCATCCATGTAGCAGCGGTTATAGTAGGTAAGGCCATCGGAGGCACAGGTGAAGCTGGGCTCCTTCTCACAGCGGTCACGGCAGCGGCACACGGGCTGCCCATCCCAGATGTCACAGTCGGAACCCTGCTGTGGGCACTCAAAGCCCTCACAGGAGGCTGCTGTCACAGGTGCAGTTGGGCCACCATCAGGGAAGCGGGCTGCCACGCAGCTGTGCAGCCCACACACATTGGTACAGCACTTCTCAGCAGCTGTGCAGTCCTGGAGGATGGGGCAGCTCAGCAGAAGCCTGACATCCTCCAGCCTTCCCCCCAATTACTGGCCTTGCCCCTTTGCCAGGATGCAGATGAAGCAGGCTCAGTGCCTATTCTGCAGCCATAGCCAATGAACACCTTTCCCCAAATCTGTCCCCCAACCCTGCCCCTGGAAAGTTGGGAAAGTGCATTCTTATGAGCTGTGAGGCCATGTGCGCCATTTTCCATGGACACACACCAAAAAGGGGTCATGATGACTCCCATCATGCAGTTAGAGTATGCCAATCCTGGCAGGATAGTTCACTGGCAGTCTAGTATGTACAAGGACTTGGGTCCCATCCCCAGAATGGCATATACACATACAAGATAAGAAACTTGACTGCAGCCCTCCTGTAGCCCTCCAGCTCTTCTGTGCCCACGCCTTAGCGTTCCATGGGCCCTGGGTGTGAAGGGAAGGTAGTGGCTCAGGCAGAGTGCTAGCTGAGGGGTAAGTCATAGGCTGTGTCTGCTTTGGTGCCAAAGCAAGGGGAGGGATAGGTTTGGTGGGGGGAGCAGGCAGCCCAGAAGAGTAGGGAAGGCATTTCATTCTTTAGATAATGTGAAGACAAAGACAGGGTGTATCTAGGCCTCACACTGGGCATGGCCTAAAACCTTACAGTGTAGAAAGGCCCAGGAGGAAGCGACTTATGTGGTTGGAATCTCCTGCAGGAAAGGGCTGGGAGTGGGATCCCCAATGCTCACCTGGTCCCCAGTACAGTCCCGCTCACAGGTGCTCTGGGCGTCCACCCACAGGCTGGGGCTCAGTTGGTTGGGGCACACTCCAGGGTGGCTTCCAGGCTCTGGCAGCAGACTGACCCCTGAAGTCAGCTGGACAATGAGGAAAAGAGGCAGGAACAGCAGGAGTAACTGCAGGGTGGGCATGAGGATCACAGGGCCAGGGGCCAGGAGTGTGTGGCCACCAGCCCCTCCTTGGGTCCCCTTAGCACCCAGTTTCCTGCATGCATCCACTCTCTGGGCCTGTAATCAGCTGGGCCTCCCTTGAGATGGCTGGCCCTGATGACTCCCCCAGCTCCTTTGACCCCTGCTGGAGCTCACAGCAGCGGCAGATCCTTGGGCAGATTCTCTTTCCCAGCTCCACAGTGAGTGGGTTCTGGGATCTCTCAGAGTTCTTAGAGTCGTCCATGCGGTGCCTGCCTCTCTCAGCCACTAATGGATGGCTCCCAGGCTCCAGTGAGCACAGAGTAGAGAGTGGGAAGAGGAGGGGAGGGGCCAGAGGCACAGAAGCTCAGAGCCACTGGCCAAGAGGGTCACCAAGAGGCGGAGAAGGGCCAGCTCTGGCCTGAGGCGGGGAGAGAAGGGGATGCTGTAACCTGAGCCACTCCACAGGCTAGGCCACAGCCCAGCGGGGATCAAAGTCTCCTTGAAGACCCACCCCCTCAGCTCAGGGGGGAGGGTCAGGGCTGGCAGAGCTCAGCTTTTGTCCCTGACCCCCTCAGTCTCCCATGCCAGTGGGTTCAGGTATCCACTCCAACCCAACTGACTACTAGGCCAGGTTTCACCCAAGGCAGGTCCAAGGTGGTGCCTGTCACATGTTGAGTCCAAGCAAGGCAAAGGACTCCATCTTCAGCTACCAGATGGTAAGGATCTGTTTTCTTCTGGAGACCTCCATGACCCTTACAGTGTCAGTTTTCCTGAAGGTTTAACCTAAACCCTGCTGGGGGTGAGGCCCCTCCTTTCTGATGGGGAGACAAGACACAGCTGGACTTTACATTCTCACAGACACATCCCTTCACTGAAGTTGGGCCCCTGGTTTCTGGCTCAGGAGTCTGTCCCTTAGGCCTTTCCTCAACTGGGCAAGTTGGGGGTAAAAAAAAAAAAGCAGGTCCCTGGACCAGGGTGAGGCTGAGTGGTAGAGCAAGGGACTTGGCTAGCATGCTTAGAGCCCAGGATTAGATCCTTAGCAACATCAAGTCCAGTGCTGGGTGTGGTGGCACATGCCTTCAATCCCAGCACTCAGGAGGCTGAGGCGGGAGGATTGCTATGAGTTTGAAGCCAGCCTGGGCTACATAAAGGGAGTTCAAGGTCAGTGAGACCGCTGCCCCCCCCCCCCGAAAAAAAAAGAAAAAAAGATAAAGAAAAGGAGGCCCAAGGTCATCTTTGGTAGAAACAGATGGCAGATGTAATCACAGTTTAGAATGTGGTGATCCTACAGATAGCCAATCCCAAGAACATCTGAGTGCAATATGAAAGGAGTTAGTGTCCTACAAGCCATTCAGTGACTGCAAGCACCCTGGAGTCCTTCCCTGTCCTGACACCCACTTAAGGAGGATCTACATCCCCCTCCAGTTGGACAAGAGGCCCCTCCTCCACAGCAAAGGGAGGGAGCCAGACAGGCCCTCAGCTGAGATCAAAAGCTGACCGCAGAACAACGGAATCTGCCCTTCCAAATCCTGTGGCTTCAGAGGTCTGGGGCCCCAGGAACGGTTTTCTGAGATAGAATGGAGAATATCCATGTGACCCTGTGCTTGACCTCCTGATCCAGGAGCCAGTATATTAAGAGGCTGATCTTGCCAGGACTACAAGATGCTCCCAGGTGCTAGTATCTACAGCTGTGGGTGAGCAGCCCTAATAAGGTGGAGTGGGGGAAGGCTGGGCCAGATCTTGGTTGGGTAGTGGAAGGAGGGAGCTCTCTGCAACCTGGTAACCCCTAGGTGGGAGAGTGAGTGAGAGTGAGTGTGTGTGTGTGTGTGTGTGTGTGTGTGTGTGTGTGTGTGTGTGTGTGTGTGTGTGTGTGTGTGTGTAAGGATGCTGCTTAAGAGAGCAGTCACAGCTGAATTAAATTTACTGTACAATGAAGTTCAAGAACAGTTCAAAGAACCCAGGAATGGTGGAGTTCAACAGCAGCGGGGTAGTGTTGATACTGTGCACACAGGACCATGCAGGTCCTTAAAACAAGTCTGTATGATTTTGTTCATGATTCCAAAGAAAGGGCCCTTGTTGGCAGCAGCAGGACAGATGGGTGGGGGAAAAGTGAAGTCTGATGGGCAGGATCCCTCTGGTCCAACCTGCCTGTGGTCAGCCTCAGGGCCAGGGAGCCACTGGTGTCAGGCAGCTTACATGGCCACAGCCCTGTCCCTGATAGCATGACTCACTTTACAGAATAGGTCACGGTGTTGTATGTCCACTCACAGCAGAATCATCTCAGGACACATGCACTATGAGGGAGCTGGGTGAGAGGGGCCATGACTGGGGCAGGGTTCCTGCTATGGCTGCGGGCCAGAGGGCAGGAGGTAGAGTTGAGCACCAGTGTAATGGAAGGCTTTGTCACCAGGCCAAGATAGGGAGCAGGCAGAAGGTGATGTCCCCATGGAGAGGACTGCCCAGGTCACAGAGGAACAGGAGGAGCACTATGGAAGATCTGTCCATGGCTTTAAGAGGGGCAAGATGACCAGATCTTGTTGTGTTTCAACAGAGTGGCTGGCTGATAGGTCCTTGAGAGGTTTTAGTGTCCGTCCCTGCCCACAGAGCAGATGAGGCTGCTGTTCCACGCCGTGACACTAAGAAACAGGCCAAAGAAGTTCCAGTGATACGTGAGCTCCTGGGCAAAAGGGCCACGTCAGGCAAGGAGCAGCTACAGGAACATAGCTGAGGTTGATGAGCACAAGCTGCTAAGAACAGGAGGCTGGACAGAGGTGTCCAGTGACCCAGACATCACCAGAGAAGCATAGGCTGTGGCCCCATTTCACGAGTCTGCAAATAGCTCTGCATCCTCAACCTGGAAGTGCTGATCTGGGTCAGTGTAGTAAACATCACCAAAGTTGTCAAGTCATAGTTGGAAGGGACCTATAGAGTGGCAAAGATTGGGATGTGCCCCATTTTCTCCCTCTCCTGAGTTGCAAGAGCTCCAATGTGCAGGGATGACATCCACAGAGAGCTGGCAGGAGGTACATTTTTGCCTAAGCACAATGCCCACCCTCGTTAAAAATGAAGCTGGGATCAAGATCACTGCTAGAAGCTTCTGGAGGGTGCCTTTGTCCATCTGTTCCCCACTGGCCCCTGTGCACCTCCCAGGTCTCAGGCAAAGTATATGCAAATCCAAAAAACGATCCAGCTTTGCCCCTTCTTTCCACTAATGCCTTAAGTCCATCTTCCATAGACACGTGGAACTTGCCCCGGGGCTGTAACCTTGGAGAGGTCACTTCACCACATAGTTGCATATAGGCTTTCCTGACAGCCCTTTAAAATACAAAATGGGTGAAATGTTCTCTGTATAAATAAGAAAGGGAACTAGGATCCCTCCTGGCCCAAGCCCAGGTAGCTGTGGCATAGGAGGCTGGTTCAGATCAGGGCCTTGTAGCACCAGCAGCCCAGCTGCCCACAGGTCCTTCTGCGAGTCGACGGAGCACATTCTCCTACTCACTCCTCCCCATTTCCCAGGTCAGGTATGGAGGAAGCCTGGTGCTTCCTACACATGGCTGTGTGGCCAAGTCCTCATACACACAGCAGGGCCTAGTACCTGGTCAGGAGCGCCCCAGTGAGCCTCCCAGAGTCTGCATAGGTGATCCTCACTGGCACTGCTAGGAGATCTTGCAGTTGCTCCGAGAGCAGTTCTGGGGAGGGCTCTGGGGGGGACGGATGGACTTGGACCGCTTAAGGCTGTTGCCTTTGCTGCTGCTGCCTCCGGCCCCACTGGCCAGGGAGTAGGAACGGCCATGCATCATGACAGCATTCATGCCGTTTGCCATTGAGAAGGACTTGAGGTGACTCTTGATAGTTACAGGCAGTGGAAGCTTGTCGATGAGATGTACAGGGGTGCAGGAGACGATGGCACGGCAGCACAGATCCTGCAAGCTGAACACTGGGGATGGGATGGGAGAGGGGTCAGACAGGCAGGAAAGGAGGTGAAGTGGTCAACTAGCTCTTGCAACCAGTCACCCTGTAGCCCCTTCTGTGGCTCTTTCTAGCCTGGCTATTCTCAGTAAGATCTGCAGGGTACAATGGATGTTCTTTATGGATACACAGGCCCAGGAAACAACTGGGCTCTTCAAGGTTTCTTTTGAGAAGAAGGGACTTTGATGTACTACTCCCCTGTGGCTTCATTAAGGTGATACCATGACTACCCCTCTGCCCACAGCAGGTAGTCCTGCCAGGAAGCACCACAGCATGAATGGCCCTAGGCCCCATCTCCCTGAGAACAAGGCCAGAGCTGGGTTCTAACTGAGGACTAGCAGAAAATATAGCCCAGACAGAACACTGAAATCTGCAAGCATGGCTTCTGCAACTGCACAGCTGTGAAACTCCAGAGTAAAGGAGAACATACAGGTGCACACAGAACTCCAGGTCTCATTTCAGCAGCAGGGCAAAGAGATGACTGCCTACTGTTCAAGGCCCAAAAGGGCAGAAGAGGTGACTGCAACTCTTTTTTTTTTTTTTTTTTTTTGGTCTTTTTTGAGGCAAGGTTTCACCATATGGTTCAGGCTGGCCTTGAACTCACTTTGTAGCCCAGGCAGACCTCAAACTCATGGCGATTCTCCTGTCTCAGCGCCCCAGTGCTGGGATTACAGGTGTGTGCCCATTGTGATTGCAGCTCTTAAGGAGCCAGCTTCACTTTCACCTATAGGACACCCCATACCCTAAAGCTCATACTGTCCTGCCAGCCCCACCTCGATTGGGCCTCCAAATCTTCTCCATCCCATGCCGCATGAGCACGATGCGAGAGAGCTCTGTGAAGGACTCGATGACATTGAAGTTGCACAGGGGGCTGACCTCAAAGAAGGTCATGCAGTTCTTCTCTGCATAGGCACGAGCCTGCTCTGTTGGCACTTGCCGCTTGAAGGCCAGGTGCAGCCGGTTCCCAACCAGAATCCGAGGAACCCCAGGTGCATGCTGGGAGAGGGGTAGAAAACTCAGCAGAGACACAAAAGCAGAACACTCCCAGCCCTCAGCCATGGATAGGGCCCTTCATCTGCATTCCAGGATGGGGCAGGCCTAGAAGGCTTAGATGGCCCAGGCTAGATGGCAGAGTCCAGCTGCTCTTCACTTGTCAAACCTCACCCCAGCTACGGAGCAGCTATGTCTAGCAGTTATGCCCAGGCCCAGCTCAGACCCATAGGTTCCCCAGGAGAGGCACAGATCCCCACCTACCTCATCTATCTCCTTGATCCACCGGTCGATGCCATCAAAGGACCAGCGGTTGGTAATATCGTATACCAGGAGGATGCCCTGAAAGAAACATATTGGTCATCCATGGGCAAAGCTGGGCTTGGGCTTGGTTAGGGATGTTTACCAGGTAGAAGGGGTCTCAGTGTCTGTGTGCCAGGAACAACAGCATTGCAGACTCATGGTCAGCAGCATGATAGACAGATGGGAAATGTGCCTGCCACTCAATATAAGCATGGGGAGAGATCTTCTATGAAAGAGAATAGTCTGGCTCATAAATGTGGCTTCCTCCTGAGGACTTGGCTGGACTTTTTGTGTGTGTGTGGTTCTGGGGATTGAACTCAGGGCCTTGTGTATGCAAGGCAAAAGTTCTACCACTGAGCCATATCCCCTGCTCTGGACCTCTCGATTTCTTTTCCCTAGGTGTAGCACAAGCATTCAGAAAGAATCATGGAAGGAGTGGGGCATGGTGGCATAACCTGGCATTCCAGCAACTCAGGACAAGGAGATGAAACATAAGGACTGTGGGTTCAAAGCCAGCCTGGGTAACACAGTTGAACCTCATTTCCAAACAACAACAAGAAAAACAAAAACAAAGTACAGAAGCTGAGCCACAAACACCAGGTTTGGATGTGGGGTCTATGAGGAGCCAGAAAGCTGCAGGATAGGAGTTAAGTCCATCAACAAACTCCACCCCAGGGGCCCCTGGGGCAGAGTTGAGCTGAAGTATTTCTGAATTTTCCAATCCAAAACTTTCAGAACAGGATGTCAGTCACTCTGAAGTCATTTTCATGAGGGCTCAAACAAGCCAGATTGAGCAGAATTTGCTACAGGGTCTTTCCTGCCACATCCCTTAGAGACCAATTACTCAGAGCTCAGCTCTGAGCTGTCTCCAATATCTGCCCTGAATATCTCAGCAGTGACACTGTTATGGGCTCTCCGCAGGCACCACACAAAGCACACTGTCCATCATACAAGGTTATATGACAATAGTGGATATCCACTTTTTAATCCCATGATTTTGCTTGCTTATTTATTGATTGATTAGACTGTCTTTTATTTTGAGACAGGGTTTCCCAATGCAGTTCAGGCTGGCTGTGAACTTGCAGTGATCCTCCTGCCTCAGCCTCCCAAGTGCTAGGATGATAGGAATGTGCCACCATGCTCAGTAAAAGATCATCTTAAAATGATCTGTGTCTAAAAATTTGGATTCCCACCTCACTTCCTTTTAGGTTTTGTTTTTTGTTCTGGTTTCATTTTGTGTTCTGCAGCCCTGGGAATGTGGGGATAGAACCTAGGGATCTACATATGCTAGGCAAACACTGTATCACTGAGTTAAACTTGTAACACAATGCCTCTCCTCAAACACATCCTTACATTTCTAGAAGACTTAGACATAGCCTCCACACCCTGTTAAGACAAAGGTCAAAATTACTTGAACCTAGCCTTGCAGTCCCTACTCTTTGGACAGTAGAGCAGCTGGGGAGAAACCTCTCTAATCTGGAGGGAAACCTAGGGCATCACTAAGAACTGACAAACTTGAGTTCAACTGATGAAAAATGTTAAGACTTATCATAAACAAATGTATATCCAGGAGTAAGCACTGCTGTTTGGGTACAGGGATGCAGCCTCTCATTTGCAGCTTTTGGGAATAGGAGACAGAGCCACTGAAGGCCCAATAGCACACCCTCTAACGTGGCAATCTGTATGATGGGGATGTACATCTGGAGGCTGATCTTTAGGCACATCCTGGTTAATATCTCAGAATTGGGAGTGTAGCATAGTGGGGAAACACTTTTCTAGCACAGTCCAAACACAGCAAACAAAACAAAATACATGTCCACTATGAAGAGACAGCTGAGTTAATGAAGGAAGATCATACAGACAATAAAAATAACAGATGCACACTTCAGAGTATAGTTGTTGGTCACAGAAAGATGCACAGTAAATCATGATTAAGAAATATAAGTTCCAAATACTCTGTCCAGTATAATTTTTTTTTTTAGACAGGGTCTTGCTATGTAGTTCAGGCTGGCCTTGAACTCACTGTGTAGCACACAGGCTAGTCTCAAATTCATGGTGAGGCTTAGCCTCCTGAGTGCTGGGATTATAGGTATGTACCATCATACCTGGCTAGTATTATTTTTTAAATAATACAATGCTTTGCACTGAATGCAAATGAAATGTGGTTCATTAATAGGATACACAATATAATGGCATACGGCAGGGTTTGGGATGAATTTTTTCTTGCTTTTGTTGACCCACATTTTCTGCAATGACCACCATTCCTGTCACATTTGAAACAAATGAGCAGCAGGCCCACCTGCTGGGTTAGAGAGTTAATTCCAGATCCTAGGCCCCATCCTCTGGTTGTTAGGAGCCCTGCCACCTTGCCTGGCCAGTACCAGTATTACCAGCTTTTTCTGGGACTGCTCAAGTTCAATGAATTGGGTTATGAGCAGAACAGACAACATGGAAGGACACAGACAAACACTAGTGCTGGTTACATTACAGGCACAGGGAATAAAATGATCATGGATTTGGCCAGGGAAAATTATCTGCAATGACCCACAAAGCAGGCTAACTCAAGAAGTCAAAATGAGGTTTTTATCAGGACTTGCTCCATAAGAATTCCACTACCAACTGTGTGAACAAAGAACAAACAGACTCTTCTACCATAGTCTGCATGGGTTTTTTTTGAGACAAGGTCTCAGTCTGTAGTTCAGATTGGCCTTGATCCTTCTGCCTCAGCGTCCTGAGTGCTGGGATTACAGGTGTGTGCCACCATTCCCAGCTTGATTATTCTGCCTTTTTAACAATAAAAGTAATACACACTTTGAGGGTTTTTGTTTTTGCTTTGTTTTGTTTTTTGGTGCTGGAGTCAAACTCATGATCCTGTACCCAGCCAACATTTTGAGTTTTTATTTTTGTTTTTTGGTGGTATGGGGGACCTTGGCACTGAGCTGTATCAATCCTTTTTACTTTTTTTTAATGTGTTTTTTTTTTTTTAAACAAAGTCTTGCTAAGTTGTTAAACTGCCCAGCCTGTGTTCAAATTTATGATCTGCTTGCCTCAGCCTTTCAAGAGTCCTGGGATTATACCCAGCTACCTGCTCTGATTTTTAAACCTAATTAGTACTCTAGGATATAAATAAATACAGGCTCTGTACTCCACTAGCTTCCAACGTCCTTCTGGGAATAATAATGCTGGATAACATTTCTCAAGTTTTCCACATGTCCCTATCCCATGTGACTCAGTTCCCGCAAAAAACCTGGCACCAGGGTTTGCCCCATCTGAACCTCAGACCCAGGCTCTTCCCAAGGGCTGACAGCACTGCATGCCAGGCTACTACTTAACTAATCTTAGGCAATCTTGCCTTACTGTTAACAAATGTCTGTGAGGTACCTCTAAGCATATATATATATATATATATATATATATATATATATATATATAATTTGTTGTTGTTGTTGTTGAACTTAACCTGGAAGCCAAATTCCTAGAAGTGGTACTGCTGAACCTCAGAAACGTTACCCTTACTGTTAGGATTTTTTAATTCTGTTTTTTGAAACAGGACCTTGCTATCTAGTTCAGGTTGGTCATAAATTTACAGTGTGTCTTGTTGCCAGGCCAGATTAGGAGGTTCATTTGAATTTGAGAAGCCCAAAGAAAAGACAAGTTGTAGAAATGTCTGAACTTGTCTTTATTTTCAGCTGCTTGGTTCAGCTGAATGCAATTTGCTAGCTTTTCTCAGGCCTCTAGGCCCCCCACCCCACCCTGTTCTTGCAGCAGTCCTCAGCCACTTAATCTCCCGCCAGCCCTTATGGCAGTCTACAATTATACCAAAATACACAATCGTGGCCATGTGCCACTAATGCCTTTGGTTATCATCTAAGGTACTGACACGGCGGGCCAGCACCAACTTGGTTGTATCAGTTATTTACAGTGAGACCAATAAAGTCAGCCTGAACTGAAATCTTGCTAATTGGACTTAATGTCCACCAGAACCACCCCTCTTCAGGCTGTATGATTTCTTATTGGGTATGCAGGGCCACAGGGCTGATCTTTGTATCCACATGTCATAATTGCAATACAAAAACTCAGAATAGGTCATAAGAGAATTTGTTGTTCTTGTACACTCAGGCATATAGTCACCTTTGGGGGCCAGGCTGGCACACACATTCATCAGGTCCAAGGCTAAAGCCAAATTAGCTCTCTAGCTCTTTGCAAATGTCTCATCTAGTCCATTTTCCTGGGCCCAGGCCCAGAATCTCTAAGGAGCTGAACACAGGGGCTTTTTCCAGTTGAGCTGGACAACACCTTGTGGGGAATAGAAAGTGGCTCTCTACTCTTAAGCAAATCCTGTTTTTCTTGTGGACCCTGGTGCAGTATACAACCCGTAAAACTGTACAAGGTAGCTCTACTGGCCTTTCTATAGGCCCAGCGCTGGCTGTGCCCTGGCCTACCTGTCATAATGTTTTTCCTCTTCTATGTGGCCTACTATTTATAGATCTTACCACACAGCATGGCATCATTCAGGCTGATGATGTGGCAACATAGTGAATGTCCCTGGTCTTCTTTTTAATGTGAAGCAAACTCTTTGCAATCTCAACTACAGGAGGATGTCCACCTCCAGGATCTCTGGTACCAGGAAGATATGCGTGGTATGGGTTTGAGAAGCCAAATGACCTATGCCCAAAGTCATAGTTGCCAGCTTCACTTTGATGGTACATTCCTTATATCATCTTGATGCCCCTATAAAGGCCATCTTGCTCAGGAACTTACCAGGATTGTCATAAATCAGGCAACAGTTTGTCCTGATGCCCACTAATGCAAGCACACACTGTACATTTGTGGGTGAGCAATGAAAAGCAATGCAGGTACCCTACCATTTCCCATAACCAGCCATCTTGGTCTTGCCCTAATCAAAATTAAACCTACATGGCATCATCCATGGTGGCCATCTAGTTGTGCAAATTTATGGCCCAGGTCTAGATCACTTGTGTCCTCTGGGGAGTCCCTTTTTAGAAACTGTTGATAGGGGTATAATTATCCCCCAAAAG